AAACATATGTATAAAATCCCATAAAATATAAAAAAGTGGACATAAAAACATTTTTATCTGGACCTGGATTGTTTTCCTTGGTGTGTGTTTATTATTATGAAAACAGACTCACAGCAACAATGGTGTGGAGTCTTAAGATGATATCTTAGCTCAGCTTTTGTTTTTAGTTTCTTAACACTAAATASCATAAAATTCAAACCATATAAAAACAGTAGTTATGTCTTCTGCTGAAAAGTGTTTGAAAATGTGTCAGACTCATTTCAGTTTCTTGAGTTTGGGTCTGTGTAGCTGTGGACCTGGGTCCACCACCTAAAGCTCCTACGTTGGACAAACCAAGACTAGAATACTGAGTAATAGAAGAATGTGGTCTAGTCTGCATTTTGGACAGTCCACTGTGAAACTATATTTCARCTAGTCTCTAATAGCTGTAGCTCAGTGAGATAGTACCTTATCACACCAACTCTTTACTGTCAGTGTGATGGGTGGAGCTACATCCTCATTAAGTTAATGCATTTCCTGTTTTTCTCTAACTTTTGTGAACATGCAGCRTATATGTTTGTTTGAGCTGCCATTTCTTTCTCCTCCTGGCTCAATAAAATCAGATCCTCCAGCTGGTRGACCTAAACCAAAGTAAGAGGCTGTATTTCTGTGGAATCTTAAATCTGAAAGGTTTTAGGGTGGACAGAGGGTGCAGTGGTGTCGCTGAGTGAAGGTAAAGCACAAGGTTTGATGCAGTTCAGAGCTGCATGCTGGATGCTGTACCTCATCAGCAGACGGACACTGAAAGCTAAAAGAATCCTGCAGAAATAAACACACCAATAACACAAGAGACATTAGAGACAACAGACGACAGAGAAAACAACATGCAACATTTAACAGAAAACAGGACTAAACATGTCAGTGCAGCTGCAAACTCCTGCAGCCGAAGATGTGTCCACACCAAACCCTTCAGCACCGAGTCACAAACTGGTGCTGAGGCTAACAGCAGGAAGTGACATCAGGTAAAAATTAAAGTCCAGTGCTGATTTTCAGTTCTACTGTCAGTTATTGTGCTGGTTAAAGAACAATTAAACACATAACAAATAAATGACACATTTATATCTCGTCCACACTGGAACTCCTTGTCTTACAGTATTTTTTTATACGTTATTTCCAGGGGTGGGCACAGACAACCAAAAAGGTAGGTTCACTAACCATTAATCCACTAAAGAATAGAATAGAATAGAATAGAATAGAATAGAATAGAATAGAATAGAATAGAATAGCATTATTGACACTATACGCATG